CAGACAGAGCTTAAGTGAGAAATTTTATTAGAAAGGGAAAGGTGGGGGAAGGAAAGAGAACCGAGGTAAAGAGACAGAGAGAGGAGGGAGGGAAGGAAGGGGAGAGAGGGGGAGGATAGAAGAGAAGAGGGAGACAGGAAAAGTCCTGTCTTGCCTCAGGGGGAACAGCAGGAAAGAAAGCATGAGCGACAGCACTCTTTTTTTTTTTTTTTTATTTAGCACTCTTTCTTTTAAAGAGGTACTTTGCACCTGCTTGCAGATTAAGCAATCATGGAACCCTGGGCTGACCAGGGTACTGCCTGAGTGCATTCTGCCAGGTGACAGGGGCAGGCCACCATAATGCCTGAATCCTTACACCATGGACCCGAGAATTAAACTGACATTACAAAGACCAGCAAAATAAAAGCATTCTAACTGGGGCTGGAGAGATGGCCCAGCTGTTCAGTGCTTGCTGCTCTTTCAAAGGACCCAGGTTTGGTTTCCAGCAGTGATGACTGGCTGCTCACAATTGCCTGTCCTCAAGCTCCAGGGACTACAACTCCTGTAGTCTCCAAAGGCACCTATACTCATGATCACACACACGCATGCTCAGAAACACACATGCATATAATTTAAAAATACTATAAATCTTTTTGTTTGTTTTTTTGAGACTGGGTTTCTCTGTGTAGCTCTGGCTGTCCTGGAACTCACTTTGTAGATCAGGCTGGCCTGGAACTTACAGAGATCCTCCTGCCTCTGCCTCCTGAGTGCTGGGATTAAAGGCAATAACTCCTTTTTAAAAATCTTATGCACAGCTGGGCGTTGGTGGCAGAGACAGGTGGATCTCAGTGAGTTCGAGGCCAGCCTGGTCTACAGAGCCAGTTCCAGTACAATCTCCAAAGCAATACAGAGAAACCCTGTCTCAAAAAAAAAAAAAAGCATATGTTTACTTAACAGAAGGTTTATGTGGTACAGCAGCTCTCATAAGGAAATGACTCAAAGACAAGTGTATGCTGGTATACACAACCTACCGGTTAGGGCTGCTGGTCTGGCTCAGAGGGTAAAGAGTACCTGTCATCATGCCTGGACCTGAGTTTGATCCCCAGGATCCACATGGTGTCTACTGACCTTGGCAATGCTGCCCCCTCCCCCATCACACAAAATAAATCAGCATTTTTTAGGGGCTGGAGAGATGGATCAAGGTCTCAGGCCCCTCATATAGCTCATGCTGAACTATAGGAGGTGTGACAAAAGCCAGCATTCCTCAGGAACTTGGGAAACTGGTTTTCCATCCCTAAAAGGAGTCCCTCCCCCACGAAACTCATCCCCCCTATAATCCCCATGATTGGTCCACCCTGTGCTCTCTCGATCTTTCTTGGGCTATCTCACTACGCTCCATCTCTTGCTATCTCGGCCTTCTCCCCCACACTCCCACTTCCCCAGCCCTAGCCATGCCCGGTCTGCTTTCTTTTCTCTCTGTTCTGGACTCTTCCAGGTACTTCTGGATTTTTTTCTCCCCTCTTTTACCCACAATAAAAACCTTTCCTGCAATGGAGTGGTCACATCGCAGTTTCTTTACTGACCCTTGTCTTTTTCTGCCTTCTGTCTTTTTATGCTGCCTCAGAAATCTTAACACTCCACCCCACAATGCCCACATATGCTACTAAGAAATAGAAACCAGTCAGTTCACAGGCCTGTAGACTCTTGGATCGGACCCCCAAAATCTCCCTGCCACTCACAGAGATGGACTTGAGCTAAGCGGACACAGATTCATCGCCTGCCCCTGAGACCTTTTGGCCACCAGTGGACATTCCTAGTCATCTGAACCAACCGTGGTGCAATATGCTGACAAATGAAAGTGGACTTTGGATCCTGGATTTGAGTCACCTTATAATTTGCACATGGCCTCTTCCTCAGAATTAATGCAAAGGTTGGATCTGCAGTGTCTCGTGCAATTGCATGAAGAGAATGGATGCTCCATGGGGCTGTGGTGTCAAGTTTGGGGCTTTGGTAGCTTAGATAGATAGGTCCTGGGAATGGGACCCCTGGATGGAATCTTCATGTAGTTGTAGAGGTAGGCTACACACCTTCTGTGATGGGAAGCACCGGTAGATGTCTTCACAGGAGACTGCAACAGATTGGGCTTCCAGGCTGGGAAACCATCAGTCAAAGGAACCCTTTCTTGGTGTATCTTGCATAGACCAATTCTGGGTCAGAGCTAAACTCATAAAGGGAAATGACACAGTTCTGAGGATGCCCTATGATTTCTCCTGCTCTGACAATGGACTGTTGACGTGAACCTCCCACAAATAGGATGCCAGGGGGGAGAGAAAGCAGGTGTCGGGAGCACTCAGCATAGTTTCGAATATGTATGTATGAGTCTTTGGCCAATTCATATGGCATTATCTTCAGAGCACCATGACCATCATCTGCATCAGACCATCTGGAAGGACCTGCAAGTAACTCCCAGATGAGTGTACTGACTGTTGACTTTCTAGCCTAGAAGCAGGGAGGGAGGAGACGGATGTAGGCTGCTCCCTCCTGTATTTTCCTTGTAACTCTGCCCTAATTGCTTCATGGTCTCAGCTGATGCTATAGAGGCTAAAGCATGGGAGATTAACAGGAGTGGGTTGGGCTTTACCCATGGAGCTATGGGTAATCTTGTCCAGACAAGGGTGACATGGCTCTCTCCTGTTAGTTGCTCTGTAAGCAGTCCCAAAAAAGATAGTTTTCCTAAAAAAAAAATCAAAAGGTGAATATAATTTGAATACTGTTCAATGGACAATTGGTAAAATTTGATTTCATTCAGTGTTAGAAATTTTTAAATTTGGGCACATGCTGCACATGGATGAACTTTGAGGACATTGTAAAATAATGTGAAATAAGACTATCCTGGATAATTTTATGAGCTTGACACAAACTAAACTAATTTGAGAGGAGGGAAACTCTACATGCTGTGGGCACACTTGTGGACTATTTTCTTAATTTGTGATTGATGGGGGAAGGCTCTTCCCATGGCGGCATTAAAGCCTTGGTGCCATCCCTGGGCTGGTAGTTCTGTTCTATAAGAAAGCAGGTTGAGCAAACCATGGTGAGAAACCAGTAAGCAGCACTGCTCCATGGCCTCTGTATCAGCTCCTGCATCTAGTCCTGTTTGATTTCCTGTCCTGACTTCCTTCAGTGATGCACTGTCACCTGGAAGTATAAACTGAAATAAGCCCTTTCTTCCCCAAGTTGTCTTGGTCATGGTGTTTCATCATAGCAGCAGAAACCCTCACTAAGGCAAAGTCAGACACCGAAAAACAAAGATTTTCTCAGCCGCACTTCTTCACCTGAAACTCACTAAGTAGCCCCCACCTCCTGAGTGCTGGGATTACAGGTGTGTGCCACGACTCTACTCTCCTAACAACCACCTATGAGATGCGGGTCTTGCAGTGCTATAAATGCTCCCACATAGGTCTTACACTCCTAGTTCAAGGATCCGTCTGCTTCCGCGCAGCTGGGTAAGCTTCCGCACAGCTGGGTAGTCCAGGTACTGTGACTACAGGTACGGGATTCTTCCTCAGGGCACCTTTCAGAGGTCTAGCTTTATCTTTTAGAGATAAGGATTAGCAATTTGTGACTTGATGAGGAAGCTGTGGTGCCCTCAAGGGAAAAAGAAGCTATCTCAAGTCACACACTTTGCTGCCTGCCCGGAGGTCACAGGTCTTAGGTCCCAGGCTTTGCCTGCATTCTCTAGCTCCTGGGCTTGCATACCAGCTCTTGTCACTTGGTGTGGTCCACTGGAGGCCAGATATTTCTGTGTTGGACTACGGGACTCGGCAGAGAATGAGGCCCTCATCTTCCATCCATCCATAAGCTGCTCTTCCCAGCTGTTGCTTCTGGAGCTATTTTCCTCATATCTACCACATCCCTGAACTTGGGTTTTTTGGGAAACTTTTTCGAACGGTACTTGAACAAAAACAAGAGGGCTGCGGTGTGTTGGCTAATTCCTGCCCCTTCAACGACCACAGAACAATTTGTGGGAGTTGGTTCTTTTCCTTCCATCGGCCTGTCATGCTCTTGACAAACTCTTAACTGTTAATCTATCTTCCAAAGATTAAGAGCCATCCTCTCCTGAAGATGCCCTTTCAAAGAAACAACTCACAGAACTGGACCCAAGCTCGTTCAGACAGTAAGTGGACTCGCTGACCAGGAGGAGGAGCAACAAGGTGAATTGTGGGTGCTTCTAGATTGCTTAGGAACGGATTTTTCAAGATACTCACTGGGAGGATAGTGTAGTGGAGGTGCAGATCATGTGTAAGGATTTCAAAGCCCCAAGCACTTTCACAGCTGAAATGTTTTTTATCAATCGAAGACTACATTAGCAAACATTTTTGAAGATAACATTTTTATTTATCAATATCAGACGGGTTTTCTTTGTGTAACAGCCCTAGCTGCCCTGGAACTCTAGACCAGGCTGGCAGGCTGGTCTTGAACCCAGACATCCTCCTGCCTCTGCCTTCTGAGTGCTGGGATTAATCATCTGCACCCTGCACTTTCATTATTTTTATATATCAGATGACTTCTTTTGACATTCTTTCACACTCAGTTTATGCAAGCTCTTTGTTGTGAAGTGTTTTTTTTCTTCCTTGAAGTATGCAAATAATACTTCCTTGAAGTATGCAAACAGCTCCACTCGCTGGCCCCGACTTCCTTGAACCACGTGCCGCTAAGACCCCCCCCCCGTTTCCCTAGATGCCAATCTGCAAGCCTAGGCTTGTCCCCGCCCTCGGCCCCACCTCCTCAGTTGGAGCTGCCTATCAGCCGGCCCATGGCCACGTGCCTCCCGAAGCCCCTTCTGTGGGGCTGTTTTCGGAGATGCCTATCTGAGGGCGGCGCGCCGACGTCCGCCCTTAGTGCTGCTCCCCGGCATCCGGACACGCGCCTGGCACGGGACTCTGCGCGAGGGCGCCTCAGGCATTGCGGCGGGCAGCCCGGGGCTCCGGTGCGCCGCGGGCGTGGGAAGACCCCGGCGCCAGCGGTGGCGCAGAGCCGGTGGACGCGGCGGTAGCGACAGCGACGGGCGTTGCGAGCACTCCGAGTTGGCTGCTTGTCTGTGAGACGCGCTCCTTCGGCCGTGCTCCGGCGCTGGCTGATTGTTGGGCGGCCGGCGCCATGTCTGTGAGCGAGATCTTCGTGGAGCTGCAGGGCTTTCTGGCTGCCGAGCAGGACATCCGAGAGGCGAGCCTCCCCATTCCTCTTCCCTCTTCCTTGCCAGGCTGGGCTACTGGGTCCCGCCCTGCTCGGGTTCTTGTTTTCGGGCCGGTGGGTTCAGGTTAGGCTGCCTCTCGGTTCCGGATTCGACTTCTCTTCTTGCTCCTCCTCAACATCATCTGGCCCTTTGAATACCACTTTTCCCTCCTGCCACTTCGGAATGCCACTATTTCGGTCTGCATTCCCGTCCCAAGCTCCGTTAACGCCCGGGGCAATCATCCAGTACACCTTTCTTGTACTGGTTGCTGAATTTCTTTTCTTTTCTTTTTTTTAAGTACTTGCGATCCTTCCTTTAAACAAAACAAAACAAAAATACCAAACTCTCCTATAGCTTCTCATTCCACAGAGAATTAAAACAGTCTAGATTCTTCTGTGGCTTGTAAGGTCTCTCCCTCATCTCATTTTACACTTGTTTACTGTGTGTGTGTGTGTGTGTGTGTGTGTGTGTGTGCGTTCACATTTACCTTTTCATTTCTCTAGTGCTTCAGATGTTGTCCTGTTTGAGGACTCTCGAATGTACTGTCTGCTTTTGCTGGGATGTGTCTATTGTTTTCGCTCTTCCTTTTGTACCGGAGACAGGATCTTGGTGTGGAGCCCTGGGTGGCCTCGAACTTGAACCTTTAGCGTCTTCAGTGCTGATATTACAGACACGGGTGCTACCCGAGCACAGTTTACAGTTTTCATCTTGACCTTACAACAAAAGGGATTGCTTTTCTCCTGGCTTTTAAAATCATGATAAATTAAAAAAAATGTGTTGCTGTCCTACTTAATAAATTGCTTGAACGGGGCATAACGCTCGTCACTAAATGTGCTCAGTGAGTGTTTGTAAATTGAATGAATGAAAATCACTCAACATTTGTATTTAAATCTTTTTTCTATAGACAACATTCACATTGCCATGACTATTTTTCTTTTATGGCTACCTTAGGAGTCTAAGGCTTTTTAGTGACTCCTTGAGTTGTGACAAAAATAAATCAGTGGAAGAGTGCAGGTTCAGAGGGTTGTGACTGAATATGAGGTTTGGTAGCATGTTTGTATGACTGATAATGATTACACTAACCTTATCTGATTTTTGTTTATAATTCTCTAGGAAATCCGAAAAGTTGTACAGAGTTTAGAACAAACTGCTCGAGAGATTTTGACCCTGCTTCAAGGGGTCCATCAGGGCACTGGGTTTCAGGACAGTAAGTGCTTTGTTTTGATTTGGAAGGTTTTTGTCCAATCTGTCAGTCTCTTAAGTTAGTTTCCATTAAGGATATATATACCTAGTGCATCTGTGTCTTCTTGTGTAAGATGTCCATTATGCTTTCTTTATAGTAGTAAAAATTAGAGAATAGCAGTATGATCATTTTATGGATTTGCAATATTCTTGGTATTTTGATTACTTTTCAACTAAACAAATAAAGGAACAAAAAACCAACCCAAAAAACCTTTGTATATTTAAGAACTTTTATTTGGTGAACAGGTGTGTGTGTGTGTGTGTGTGTGTGTTTTGTTTTTTGGCAGGAGTTTTGCTTTGTTGCTTCAGCTGATACTGAGTTGTGTTCCTCTAACCTGAACCTCAAACTCCACTGAGCATCCTTGTAGCCAACACATTCGTGTGTTAATATATACTTGTAATTGAATACCTGTTAGTGTACATTTGTAGATATGAGGTGACAGTATAAAATGTTGTAAACTTCATAGGTTTATAGTTAGACACGGAAGCCCGTATAGTAAGAAGCAACCAGCACAGCTGAGAGCTGGAATGATTCTCTCATGGCGTCTCCAAGGCAAGACATTTATGTAATGATGTGGGATTTACCAGTCAGTCTGAGGCTAATCAGTAGAGCTCTTTCTGATTACAGTGGAGGTAGAAACAGTTGGGTGGCTGAGGACTGTGGGAATAGCAGCTGAGGAGTAATAGTCTCTGGCTTTAAGTCGATTAATGTCCAGAAAGACTACATAGATTACTAAGCAAGAACTGTAGTTGGAACTTGGTGTTCCATTGTTAAATTTGATTCTTTTCTGATTAGTTCCAAAGCGGTGCTTGAAAGCTCGAGAACATTTTGGTACGGTGAAGACACACCTCACATCTCTGAAGACCAAGTTCCCTGCGGAACAGTATTACAGGTTTGTAAGAAAACTAGCACTAGTTTATAACACTAGACTTTTTAAAGGCAGAAGAAAAATAGGTGTTGAATGGTTCCATGTGAGTAGGTAAAAGTCTTTTGTAGAAGGAACACAAAGAATCATATTGTTGTTGTCTTCTTTACTGTTTGCTTTCAAACAATTTCTAAGGAAACAATTACTTTAAAAAATTATTTTTTTTTGAGATAGTAATTTGATAGCAACATGCTCCCCCTTTCCCTCCTCTCCTTTCTTTCCTTTTAGCCCAGGCTGGCCACATGACCTTGGTGTATACTAAAGGATGATGGCCTTGAACATCTCTTCCTCCTGCCTTCATCTCCTGAGTGCTGGGATTACATATGTGTGCAACCATGCTTGGTTTATGCTGTGTGTATGGAGCAGAACTCAGGGCTTTGTATGTACCAGGCAAATGCTCTACCACCTGAGCTGTCTTCAATTTTAATTTTAATAAAAAATTGGATTGTGCTTTTCGATGATTAAACTTACAAGTAAATACTACAAATCTGAACTTGTCAAATTTTTGCCAAATCCATTTAATGTATTGAGTTCACAGAGATCCTCCTGCCTCTGTCTCCCAAGTACTGGGATTAAAGGTGTGCGCCACCAAGGCCCGGCTACTCCTGTCTGTTTTATATACTGGGGTTGCATATAGATTTTGTTTGTAGAAGAGCCCCCTTTCTAATCTGCTGGATGAGCCGAGTTGGGTGCATCCTTGGGGCAATTCTTAACTTGGCCACCTGCTGTGTCTGTGCTGCTGCAGGTTTCATGAGCACTGGCGGTTTGTGCTCCAGCGCCTTGTCTTCCTGGCGGCCTTCGTAGTGTATTTGGAAACAGAGACCCTGGTGACTCGAGAGGCGGTTACAGAGATTCTTGGCAGTAAGTACCTCCGTATGATCTGTAGAGTCATGTACATTAGCTTAGGTTTGGGTGTGGGGGACTGTTTCTATCTGTGTTTTAAGTGTGTGCATGAGTGTCGTGTATAGGTCAGAGCGGCAACTCTGGGTGTTCTTCCTTAGGCGCTGTCTACTTAAAGAAAAAGCAAAAAACTAACACATTGAATTATTTGCGTGTACATAGAACATGTGGCATACATGTGGAGGTCAGAGGGCAGTTTGTGTGTTCCCTTCTGTCATGTCAGTCAGTTCCCAGCATTGACCGGAGGTCATCAGGCTAGGTGGCCAGCATGAGGAGTGTGTAGTAGTATCTGTGGAGTTGGCAAAGGTGGGAACACCGTAAGAAGCTAGAAAAGATTTTTCATCTCTTCATTTAATTGTGTACATGTATGTATTATATTCTTTGGCTTAAATTGCCCTCATATCATGACTGTCTTTTATTTTGATGTGTTTTTTTTAGTTGAACCAGATCGGGAAAAAGGATTTCATCTGGATGTGGAAGATTATCTCTCAGGAGTTTTAATTCTTGCTAGTGAGCTGGTAAGGAGAGGGGGCAGGGAGAGGGTAAGGAGAGAGAGAGAGAGGGAGGGAGGGAGGGAGGGGGAGAGGGAGAGGGAGAGGGAGAGGGAGGAGAGGGAGAGGGAGAGGGAGGAGAGGGAGAGGGAGAGAGAGAGAGGGAGAGGGAGAGAGAGAGAGGGAGAGGGAGGAGAGGGAGAGGGAGAGAGAGCATGCAGGTGCACATCTGTGGAGGCCAGAGGACAAACAACCTTGCTGTCATTCCTTGTGCTAGCCATTTTTTTTTTTAAAGAAAAAAAGTTGTATTTATTGTTTTTGTGTGCATGGAAATCACAGGACAACTTCTAGTAGGTTCTGTTGTTCTGCCGTGTGTGTCCTGCAGATGGAACTCAGGTTATTAGGTTTGGTGGAACCACTTCTGTGCACTGAGCTGTCTTGTAAGCCCTCCGTTGTTTTGAGACAGGGTCTCTGATCTGGAGCTCACCAATAGGTTAGGCTGGCTGGCTGGCAGAGCTCAGGGATCTGCCTGTGTGCACTTCCCCAGACTTGGTGTTATAAGTCTATGCCACCACTCCGAGTTTTTGTATTAAGCATGGGGATCAAACTCAGGTCCTAAAGCTTGCAAGGCAATCTCTTGGCTGATTGTCCTGTCTCTCCAACCCATCAGGTATTTTTTTGAACTTCCTGCTTCAGTTGCATTCTTAGTTCTTAAAGTGGCTGTCTGAACTGAGGAAGTCTTTTTAACCCTTCTAGCAGTCATGGGGTAGTCATTGGCTGCATTTTATAAGTCACAGTTAACTGTTAGGGTGGGGTCAGAAAAATGCCCATTGAGATGCTGAGGGAGGGAGCTGTGCATATTTCCTAATGGGCACCTTTCTTGAGACAAGATCTCATGGAGCCCAGTTGGGCCTTGAATTCACTGTTTACCTATACAGCTGAGGATGACCTTGAACTCTTGGTTCTTCTGCCTCCCTATATAGTGGTATGTGATGTTTCAACTTAAAAGATGCTAGTACCTCTTTCTTTTAGAAGTGTAAAAGACGTGCATTCCTGACAACTGTAATAATTCATAGAGTAATTTTAGAGAATAATTTGACTGTGGGGGTTATTTTTATTTTTTGAGACTGGTCTTATGTAGCTCAGGCTACCCTGGAGCTTAGGATTCTCCTCAGCCTCCTGGGTGTAGGATTCTAGGAGTAAGCTTCCACATCAGCCTCTGGATGCTTATTTTTTATTTCTTATTCCCTTAATTGCCTTAGTTTGAAATTGTTATTTAAAAATAATTTTGTAGACAACACAGGTCTGCCAAGAGCAGGCTTCATAGAGCCTGCATAACCTTCAGAGGTAGAAATGTTTGCTGCTTCACTTTTTAAAAAATATGTTTTGTTTTATGTGTATAGGTGCATTTTATGTGTGTCTTTGCACTACTTGCAAAAAGGCCAGAATTGGAGTACAGACAGTTGTGAGCCATCAGTGGGTGCTGAGACTCAAACCCAGGTCCTCGGAAGAGCAGCTAGTGCTCTCAACTGCTGAGCCTTCTCTCTAGCCCACTGTTGTTGATTTACTATTACTGTGTCTGTGAATGCAGGTGTGTGGGCTGCTGTGGCATTGTGTGGAGGCTAGGGGACAACTGTGTGGAGTCTGTTCTTCCCCAGTCTACATGTGTTCTTGGGGAACTCAGGTTGCTGGGCTGTTCTCACTGAGCTGTTTCATTGGCCCCACTGTCCAGGAGTTTTAAAAAGTACCCCAAGATGGGCTTGATGGTACATGCCTGTAATCCCAGCTTCAGTCAGAGTGATTTCTGGGAGTTGGAGGTTAGCTTAGCTACAGGGTGAGACCCTGTTTCACATCCCCCAGAGATGGAAAAGAAGAGACGGTTGGTTTGATGGTTCTTTTGAACTTTGCTTTGGATCCTTCTAGCTTTCAGGAATTTTCTTTTTCATGGTGGCCCTGTTGCTCTAGGACTGGCAAGTTGCACCTGTGTTAAAATCTGTAGGAAAGCAGTGAGAATTTGAAACATTCTCAGTATGGAAACGGGCAGAGGGGATCCTGAAGCCATTGAAAAGTTGCATCTCCAACTCGAGTTTGTGGGAGGCAACTCATCAGCAAATTGAATCTGAGCACTGGGTCACTGTCAGTGGCTGGGGTAAAGTGTCTTAACTACTGTGTCTGTTGGAAAAATACTGAATGAGTAAGCTCATAGAATGGATAGGACTTCATGGGGAAGAGGCTCTTGAGTTGGAGTCTCGAAATCCTACCTGTCTGTCCTTGAAGACGATATTGAAGTGACTTAATTTTAGCTTCTTAACCTGCCTGTCTGTGTTACTCATTCTAGGTGACCAGATGGGTCCTCAGTAGTGGGCTGTATATAGACATATGCTCATTTGGCCCAGTTTGGCAAAGATAACAGAGCCACTGATTGCTGTAACATTCCTTTCTGTTCTGTACAGTAGCTGATGAGCTGTGAAGTTGACATTTGCTTAATTTAACATAACTTTATTCCATCATAGTCAGCTAAAGGCATTACAGAGATTTTAGAAGATGCTAATTATATCTAGCACTTGTAGCAGACATTGTCTCAGTTCTGGTAGGGTTTGTCGCAGAGAGCTTTCTGTTTTAATGAGCTTACATGTACCTGAATACAGAGCATCATTTCAGTGTAGGTGTCTAGATTTGAGGTTCTAGCTGTGACTGGGGGGAGGTGCCGAGGGAGAAACCACACAGTAATGCGCTTGATTTCTTCTGCTTGTGCAGTCGAGGCTGTCTGTCAACAGTGTGACTGCCGGAGACTACGCTCGGCCCCTTCACATCTCTACTTTCATCAATGAGCTGGATTCAGGGTTCCGCCTCCTCAATCTGAAGAACGACTCCCTGAGGAAGCGCTACGACGGCTTGAAGTACGATGTGAAGAAAGTAGAGGAGGTGGTCTATGATCTTTCCATCCGAGGCTTCAATAAGGAGACAGCAGCGGCTTGTGGTGAAAAATAGGAGCCTCTCCCTGCGGTTGGCCTTGACGACTAGGCATTTGCCAGGGAGGCCTAGCACAGTGCCTCTCCTTTAGTTAGCACACCAGTTGCTAAACACTGCGCTTTATTTTCGTAACCAGCTGTGTGGTGTGAGTATCAGAATTGAGATACTTTTTGGATCTAAAAAAAACCCTTTCCACTGATAGGATTTTCTTTGTTGAAGTTTCAGTGAACTTGCTGTGTAATTTGTTGTATTATCATTTTGTCAAAAATGTAAGTGTTGGTCTCTTGGTAAAAGTCCTTTTCTTGCTTACCTGACTGTTGATGTACCGATTGACAAGTTTGCTGTCTTGTTCGTGATTCTTCCAGAAGTGACCCATGATGTTTTCTAGGTCCAAGTTAGTCCTCCATTTCTAGTCCTAGCCTGAATACAGTGTGAGAATGGTTGACAAGCGAGGGAACTTTATTTTCCTCTTCTTATTTTAAGCCTTGTAAATTAGTTTTTTTTATTGGTCAAGGAAATTGGAGGCCCTAATTCTTTCACTGCCATCAAAATACAGCAGATGAAACTGTACAGTCCAACTCAGCAAGGCCACTTTAGAAAGATCTTCTGTTAAGTGATGTCTTTGTTTGGTTAGAGCTCCTTGTTTTCTGAGGTCACCTTATGTCCTGCCTGCCATAGTGGTTAGAGTCGCCACACCTGTCTTGAGCTAACACCCATGTGCTGTATTTGTAAACCATGAGACGTTTTCCCAGCAGCCAGCTAGCCTGGTCTGGGGGTAGAAAGCCATCATGCATTCATTCACTAGCTGTACCCTAGGAGTATGTTCTTACAGAAAACAGTGCTGTTTGGTGTGGAAGAAAGTAAAACTTGGCTTGAAAAAAATCCATGTGATTGGTAGTATTTTTTTGGAATAAGAAATTTCAGGTTTTGATGCTATCATTAGGTTTTTTTTTTAAAGATTTTATTTATTATGTATACACCACTTCATGTATGCCTGCAGGCCAGAAGAGGCCACCAGATCTTATTACAGATGGTTGTGAGCCACCATGTGGTTGCTGGGAATTGAACTCAGGACATCCGGAAGAGCAGCTAGTGCTCTTAACCTCTGAGCCATCTCTCCAGCCCCTATCATTAGGTTTTAAATGTACGGTTCAGGGTAGTCATGTAACCTTTGTGGGCTCCTCTAACCCTTCTCCTTTTCAGATAGTATAAGAGGAATGCATATATGGCCATTCTTGGGGCAGGACTGAAGTTTTAAAGTCACGGCTGGTGATGTCGCTCAGTGGTAGAGCATTTGCCTGGCAGGTGTGAGGCACCGGGCCTATCCCTGGAACTAAAAAAACAAAACAAAACAACCCTCCTCTCCCATCCAACAAAAATACACCAGGTTTTGTTTTTGTTTTTGTTTTTTCTTTGCATCCTCTGAGAGGAAGCTGCTGGTGTCTCCAGTGTAATAGGGAGTTTTTAGGAATATCACCCTTTCTTGCTTGATGTTAGTTTGGGCTTCATGCTTGTGCAATGGGATAGTCGACACTGGCTTTTGCCAGGCTGTGGCTAAAGACTGACTGGAAAGTGGGGCTTGAAGGTGCAGGCCTGTACTCCCAGGTACACAGGGGGCTAAGGCAGGAAGATGGCAAATTCATGGCCTTAAGGCTTGCCTGACTAATTGAGTGAGACCTTGTGATAAAAAATGACCAAAAAGGCCAAAGGAGTGTTTCAGTGACAGTGTTTTCCTAGCACATTTGAAGCCCCTCTTCAGTGGGGTGGAGTGATTTCCCATTAGAGGGAAGAGGGGGATGAGAAGTGGTTGCTGTGTATTGTTGGACATGTAGACCAGCTTTCTCCATGGTTCTTTTTGCAGAGTTAGACTGAGTCATTAGGCTATTGTTTGTTAGTTTGTCTTTTGAGACAGGGTTTTGCTAATAGTCCAGGCTGGCCTGGGGCTTGCACCTCTGTTTCCACTCCTGAGTACAGGTTTAGGCTCTTGAAAGTGTTTGGGAAGGTTGTTTCAAATGCTCAGTGGTAGCACAGGCTGGACTGAATAGAAGGCTTTTCAGCTGCGTTCAGGTAGTGACAGGAGGTTCCACAGGTTCTGACTTTGTTGGTTAAGTGTGAGTTCTGCTGGACACATTAAAGCTCTTGCCAAACATTTCAGATTGTCCTATTTAGAGACAGGGCGTGCTGTCCCACCTGTAGTGTTGTCTAGACGGGTCTCAACCTCCTGGACTTAAGCCCTCCTCCTGCCTCAGCCTGCCAAGCAGCTGGGATTCTAGGCCAGTGCCACTGTACTTACTAACTCTTGAACTCAACAAATGCAATGAAATTGCACTTAAAGTGAAAGAGTACCTTCTGGAGTTGCAATTCCATTTGAGAGTTTAGTTCTGGTGATGTAATTCCATTTGAGAGTTTAGAAGTGTCATGTTGAAAATTAGTTGTGTTCCTTGCTGGCTTGTAAAGCAATAAAACTGTTTTTGGTCTCTTTGTAACTTAGTGTGCTGCTGTTTGAACTCTTCTTTGGAGAATTAATTGTTGATGCTTCTTTGAGGCCGAAGAAGCCTAGAGTGGTAAGCATGTGCTGTTGTGTGATACTGACACTAACCAAGACACTAGGCACTCCCAGGTTTTTGATTTAAATCACAGGTAATGTCTGTGATTTACCTCTACCAGAAAATTAAAGGTATTTGAATTGAAGATGTCAAGAAACCTTGCCTTTGGTTTTAGAATACCTTTTTGTTTTGATGAGCTGCGGATTAGATCCAGGGCATCACATATACTAAACATGCATTCTACTTCTGAGAGACATAGCTCCCAGAATCATTCTTCATTTATTTTTTGAGACAGGGTCTCAGGTAGCCCAGCTGGCCTTCGGTTTGCTGTGGAGCTGTATGACTTTGGAACTTTCGTTCTCTGCCCTAGCTGCTGAGTGCTGGGATTACAGGTGTGATCCACAATGCTGTCACGCTGGGATCAAGACCAGGACTTTGTTCATGCTAGGCAGACACTATTCCAGTTGATGTATAGCCGCAGCCTCAAGTGTTTTTCAGTTTTAGAAAACCAGACAGGGCAGCTGAAAAGATGGCTCAACAATTAAGAGTATGCACAGCTTTCAGAGGACCTGAGTTGGGTTTCCAGGACCCGTGTCAGTCTGGTGGCTCAACTCCCCTTAACTGCAGCTCCAGGAAATGCGATGTGCTCTTCTGGCTTCCTTGGGTGATTACACACACATTCATGTACTCCTACATAGATACATATGCATACATATAATTGAAAAGAAATATCCTAAAAAGCAACAGAACTAAAAAAGAAAACCAGATAAGGCCCACCCAGCAAGATGGTTCAGTGGGGAAAGGCACTTGCCACCAAACCTTGTAACCTGACTTAGTCTTCAGGACCTTCGGGTCCCACATGGTATAAAGAGAGAATGGACTCCCACAAGTGGTCCTCAGACTTACACATTACTGTGCACATATATAATAAATAAGCTGTACTAAAGTTTTTTAAAAAGAGAAAAAGGTACCAGAAAGATATATCCTAGCTCCTGGGTAGGCTGAAGAAGAGCTTACTGTAGCTTTCTTTGTTTGGACTGAATTATTTTCTTCCTAGCCATGCCTGACACGAGGGCTCATACCAAGCCTGAAGTAATTCTTCTTAGTACACAGTTGTATTTGGGGTCTCTAGGGAACAGGACTCTTGGAATGAATAAATTATAAAAGGGGATTTATTAGATTGGCTTACTTGTATAAAGGGACTGCTTAATTCAGCAGTGGCTGTCTACACTGCAGAGGCTGAGGCTTAGCCCCCCAATTTTGGATGCTTTGGCACAGAAGGCCTGGAGGATTCCTGGAGAGCTGCTGGTCTTCAGTGTGAGTTGGAAGGCAGAAGAGGCCGGGATTTCGTGACTGCTGATGGCTGCAGCAGAGCCAATACACTCACTCCCCAGCGGGGAACCAAGGCTGGCAGGGCTGCTGCAGGGAGCTGCTGACACTCTGCGGGAGGGTCTTCTCCCTTAGTTCATCCTTCCTGGAAATAGCCTCATGGACCCAACCAGAGATGCGTTTTTTTATTGGTCCCATGTCCAATCAAGTTGACAACCAAGAAGGCCACTCTAGTAAGCACTGTATAAATAAAAAAAAGTTTCCTCACTAGACAGTAACCTACACTGTACACCCACACTGTTGAAGGTGTGTAAAGCTGCTAGTACTGGTTGGTTGGTTGAGGATGGGCCGGGTAACAGACTAAAGTGCAGTTAGCTCAGCTGGGGAGTGGAGGAGGAAACCTCATCTGCAGGGGCCACTGGCTGTTAAAAGTGTTGTTAACCTCAGATATTTTGGGATGATGCTTGGTAGCGGCTAGCTGGTTGGTCAGAAGTGGGCACGCTCCATGGAGAATGTGTGAAATGGAGAACACACGCACGCTGAGGGCAGAAGCCTCAGTTAAGGGCATGATCTAATGGGTCAGGGGCTGGCTAAGAGCACACGTTGCACAAGCTTTGGACCTGAATTCAGATCCCCAGGATCAAGTCTGGGTGTAGCTGTGTATTGCTGTCACTCTGGCAGCCGGGGCTAAATGGGAGAATTGCTGGGTCCTGCAGCCTGCCAGCCAACTCCAGGTTCAATGGGGGAGAGCCTGTCTCTGGTTAAGGGCGATGGAGCGGGATACTTGACATTCTTCTTGGGCCCTCACTTGTGCACAGGGGCACACACTGGGACATTCACAGGTGCCATATCCCACCCGTCAAACAAAACAAGACCCAGATACGTTAGGCAGAGGAAGTAGATCAGAGAGGTCGGCAGAAAGGTAGGAGATAGTCTTACAGGGGTCTGGGATAAGAGTTACAATTTATTTAACAGTTAAACTTGTTCTTTTGACAGTTTCCTACGGGTATGTAGTGCATTTTGATAACTGTTTTCTTGCCTGTAGTCTCCCTCCCACCCCTAATGCCCTACCCCCACAGGTCCCTTTCCCAAGTTCCTGTTTTGTGATTCATGTCTGCTCCTCCCCTAGTGTCTTACTTAGGGTTATTATAGCTGTGATGAAACACCATGACCAGAAACAAGTTGGGAAGGAAAGGGTTTATATGGTTTACATTTCCACAGGACCGACAGCCCAGGAATGACCCCACCCACAATGGGCTGGGCCCTCCCACATTAATCACTAATTAAGAAAATGCCCTATAGGCTTGCTTACACCTGGATCCCTCCTCAGATGACTCCTAGCTTGTGTCAAGTTGACATAAACTAGCCAGCACACCTATAATCCATCAATAGTGTAGAGTTTGGCAGGGAAGAGTTGGACACATGAGCTTAATGTTGGGGGCTGTTGATGACTATCTTGTACAGGCCAACTGTAGGCAGCTGCTGCTGTGACGTAATGATTGCCTGGGCTGTGATGCCCACAGGGTAGTGCTTCACAGCTCTTCTGGCTGTTGGGTTCTCTTTCTGGGTTTGTGTGCTGCAGTGCTATGCATTGACGTCAGAGGGCAACTTGTAGGAGCCAGTTTTCTTCACTGGTGGATCCTGAGGATCAAACTCAGGTTGAGAGATTATAACGCGGCCCGAGGAGCACTTGACTTTTTTCTGTAGGATAGGTTAGGTGGGCTGTGTTGTACTAACACTGCCAGTCTGCAGGCATTGCCTGTAGGTGGTCTCATTCTGACTCATGGTCCCCGTGCGGTGCCGGCTGTCTGGGGATCTGCTTCTTTTGTTCCCTAGGCTGACAGCTCCAAACCTGACAATGGCTGGTCTCGGGGAGAGGCAAAAAGCTGTGCGAGTTCTCGCACCCACACGTGCTCTGGTTTGGAAATGACACATCGCCTTTAGAGCCGGTTCCTGTGAACTACACTCATGGCCCTGTTAAACGATAGAAAGCCAGGAAGTAAAATTGTGTGGTGTAGGATGGGGGTCAGAGCTGGTAAGTCAATATGAAGGTGGGAGGGACAGTTAGTCTGTGCTTCTGGACACACAAGTGTGTCAGTGGGCTTGGGTCCCAGGGTCCCGATTGCCTGTAATGACAAAACGGTGCATCTCTAGGTTTCCTGCTTGTGAGACAGACAGCAGTTGAACTAGCATCTGTTGGGGTTGCGTGGGTGTTTTGTAACTTTTTCTTTCTTTTTTTTTTGAGAAAAAATCTCATTTATCCAATGCTGGCCTTCAACTTGCTATTTAGTCAAGGATGACCTTGAACTATTTCATCTTCCTGCTGTGATAGCTAAGGAAAACTGCTAAATATCTGGAATTGGAACCCCATGGGGGGAAGCCTTGTGTCTTGGTTTGTGTCCTCTCCATCCCCCCCTCCCGTGTGTGTGTGTGTGTGTGTGTGTGTGTGTGTGTGTGTGTGTGTGTGTGTGTGTGTGTGTGAGATAAAGAGGAGGAAACATTACTTGTCAATTGAAAATCCTCTCTTGCTTCTGGTAGTTTCCATAGATCCTTCTATCATAAACTGGCTATGTACATCTAAAATGGAGAATCAACACTGTTAGATACCAGCCTTAGACTTACATAAATGTAAACTTGAATAAATGATTGGATTCATAGGAGCTAGAAGCAATAGGGAGTGTAGCAGCTGAGGACTCCAAATCTTAGAAGTTTGAGGCTGTTAGGGCAACACCAGGAGGAATTCCAGGAATGCAAAGGACCTGCAACTTTCTCTTGAAGAGTGAATTGTGGTCTTTGGCTTTAACAGCAGCCCTCCCCTTCTAGCTGGGCCTCAGTTACAAAGCCAACCACGGGAACTAGGGAGTACTGCGCTTAAATAAAAATCTGGCTAATTACAACTTTATAGAATTAGTGGTCTCTGATGCTTTATAACTCCTAACACTGCCTCCGCCGGCCGCAGAGCTGGGATTCCAGGCTTTCCCCACCATACCTGTGGGTTTTTTGTTTGCTTTTTTTTTTTTTTTTCTTCAGTGCTAGGGATGAAACCCAAGGCTTTGTACCTGGTAGGTGAGCACTCTGTCCATTGAGGTGCATTCCAGCCAACATTCAGGGAGCTGTATGTGCTTGGCTCTGAGAGGAACGTTCCTTAACCTCATATTCTGAGCTGTGAAGCAAAGCCTTTTAAGTTTGTACTGAAATGATGTAAGGAGATGGACTCTTGGTGTGCTGCCCAAGCTGGCCTTGCACCCTGGGCTCAAGTGATGCTTCCGTTGGAGCCTTCCCAGTAGCTGGGCTGCAGGCCTGTGCTGTTATGCTTCCTTTAACCGTAGCTTTGGTGTAGACTGTTTCTCCTTGCGCTTCGATGATATTACTCTCTAGCCCAAGGAGACCAAGTGGAAATCCAGAAACAGCTGTGAGCTCTCAACAAATAACTTTGAGCTGGGTATAGTTGTCTTTATAATTAACAGAAAATAAGGGGGAGACTTGGCTTTTCCTTAAGATGTTAGGGCTTTGTGTCTTATGGCTGTTGCTCTTTGTGATTGAATACCCTGAGAAGTGTAACCCAAACAGAAAGTTTATTTTGGCTGCTAGGTCAAGAGTTCACACATTAC